TCTTCATACTTTCCCTTACAAATGTCCCTTTCCTTGGTAGGATTACCTACAACCAAAATTTCCCCTCTACTAGCAGCGGCCAGGGAGAACAAAGAGTCATCCTAGTTGATATTGATGATGACCTTATAAAGGAGCTCCATCTTTTATTCCTCAGAAAGGTTTTGAATGAAAGCCAGGTCATCCACAGAGACGAAAACATCATTTTATTCAAGAGTGCGAGGAAATCGGGAAGGAAGAATACCAGGTAGTCAGATGAAGGGTGATAATGACCTTGAGGTAGCATCCCCAAAAAATTGAGTCCTCTTAGGGGAACCCTCTTCTAGATGGTAGTGCTGGTCTTCCTCTTGGCCTCTCTTCACTGGAGTAGGAGACTATGGTCGGTCTTCTATAGATAAGGTAATGCTAGTAATTATAAGTAATTAACCTTTGGGGAAGATGCAGTAATCTCAACGATCAGGGCAGGAGTAGAGATCGTAGAAGGATGCGTAACAACCCCTTCAGTAAAACCATTCTTGATGCCTTAAGTTTTGGCGAGGCTATAGATAAATTACAATTTATCCATGTTATTTGTAAGGTGCAATCACACATGTAAAAAAACTATAGGACTATGTACTCACCAAATATCTCTCTCATATCCGCGCGACCGAACGGACTCACAATAGAGTGAGTATCGATTTGCTTCTTCCTCTTCTCAGAAGAAGGCACTTCACTAGAGCCAAGACCATTTTAATAGCTAAGCACTTGGAACAATGAATGAAAAATGTCCTTCATCATAACCTCTTCAACAGAAAGGGGACCCAATTTGTGGCGGTAAAAATTGGCACTATAATCGAAGTGAGGCCATGACCAACACTTCATGAATGTACTTTTGTAGAAATGAGATGACTCAGCTAGAGCGTAGTAGAAAGCAAGATGACCCTCTAGAGTGATGGATTCCACTAGCATGAAACGCCTCAAAAAATCTCCCCAATGGTGAAAGGTCCAAACCAAGGGTCATCCGGATGAAAGGTAATAAGCCCCTAATCACGGGTGTTGTCTCAAGAGGTGTGCACGATGTATAATATGCCGATGAACAGTCAGAGGGAAGTTTTACAGGAATTGTGCTTAGCCTAAAACTATAATACTATCAAGTAAGCTCAGACCCCCATATAAAGTTAGGAAGGGGAAACCTTCAAGTGTTTTAGGACGACTGCCTCAAAATCAAAAAAGGGTAGCCACAGTTCTATCCTGTTGAACAATAACTTATAAAATGGGACCAAGTATTCATAAAAAGAACTACATATCCTCTTTTTTCTTGGCCCACAAGAAAGGCCGACCAATCCAAAGGGTGTCCAACTGTAATGTTGGTAACATATATAGCCACTTTAGTATTCTTAATAGATGAGGTTCTCACAACTTATCCAACCACCTAGCCGTACCATCTCGCATCTTCTGGTCCACCAAAGTCATGCTCCTCTGGGATAGCTTATCCATTTAAAATTCTCATCGGGCTTGGTCCACGAAATTACGTCCGATGTACCCGATACTTCATGCTGATCCTAATTTTAGCATCACCAGATTCACGATTATGGGCTCTATTAAATTTGAACAAAATGATTAGTGTGTTCTATCATCAACTTGGTAGCTTGTATTTTTGCATCAAACAGAACGAGAGAAGGCATAGGGACCTTAATATGTGATCCTTCTTACCACCATCATCTGATAAGTGAGCCTTAAAAGAGGCTAAGGAAGAAGATCTTTAATTGAAGGAGTTCTCAGATACCCTTTTTTAATGAGAATCATTGGCCAGTGATACAACCTTGTGGCCTATGTGATCATGACAAATGGGAAGAGATTATTAATCATGAGATACCCCACTGTCGTAGTAAAAGAAATGTCACTCTCAGAATTATTATCTAGTCAAATTGGGCTATCACTCATCATGACGCAGAGAAAACAGAAAATGTTGAAGGTAAAAACGTGAGGGAGACAGGTGATTGGAAAGGTGAGATTGAGGAATCAAAAGAATGAAGAATGGAAAAATATTTGAGCTAAGAACTTCAACTGCTCTAATAAGTGTTTTCATAAAGGAAGAGAAGAAGGCATTAGTTAATGAGAAACGCTTGTAAATAAGAAACTAAAGTTCAAGGATTGTGAATGGTTTCTTTGATGTTTAACCGCGTCTATATATAGGCGAAGATAATTGAATGAACCGGATCAGTAGTAAAAAGAAACTACAAAATAAACGGTTGAATTTTCTCTTGGGAAACGCAAACAAATCGAGTGCGCTCAAGTGCGCTATAAGTAGCGACATGTCCTAACTAGTCACTTCAGCCCACGTGTCACAAGAAAGCGGTGAAACATTTCAATGATGGAAATATACTTAATGCGCTTGTTCCTCACTACTTTTTCGATTAACTGCAAGTGTTTCGCTTCTAGTTCACATCGAATGACATCCTTGGGGCTGGCCACGACTGCTAAAGGCTTCCTCAACTCCCTTATCGCCTGACAAGCCTTGGAGGCAACTGTTTTGGGTTGGCCAAATACTCAATTGAATGAGGCCCAAATCAATGTAAGTCCAGTCCACCTGACCTGAGGTATAAAACTCATCTTACACAAAATGTTAGGTACACTTTCTGATATTCAGTTTTTGTTACACTCTCTTGGATGTTGAACTAACTTGAACGTTGGAATAATAACCTTATAGGTCCACCCCTGCGCCACCGCATCAAGATCAACATCACTGATTTTGAATTGTCCTGCTCCTATTTCAACCATTTCTGATTTCAGGATGAAACACTTACCGTCACACATAAACTTTTCACTTCCATCACTCATATATACATGTATCCATAAAAATATATTAATTCTTATATAACTATTCTTCTCATATTATAAGCAAATTTTACTTTTTAAAAACATTGAATAATTAATATGTTTGGATTATATATAGATCAGACATATTAATTATTCAATGCATTTAAAAAGTAAAATTTACTTATAATATAAAACTGAAGGAGTATATTCTAAAAAATGTTATAATAAAATTAAATATTTGATATAAATAGTGAAATTGTTTTCTATATTATTTTTTATTAACATTTTAGTAAAATAATACATTTGCGTGTTTAAAATTAAATATATACTATTTAGTTTAATATAAGTTACGCATCTGTTCAAATAATATGTATAAATTCTTTAAATATTAAAGTACATCGTATTATGATATCATTCTTTTACTATTTATATTATTTTCCTATTAGATTATGAATTTAAAGATAGTGCACTGTTTGTGTAGAAAAATATGACACAAATAATGTGATGCGATGAGATAAACATCTATTATTGATTGACAGTGTAAAAATATTTTATACTGTCAATGTATATTTCTTTTCCTCCTAGATTAATAACCATGCTCAAATAAATATCGGTAAAAAAAATAAAAATATAGTGATTTGAATTTGAACTCAAATTCTACTTAAAAATATGAGGGGGCAAAACAATTTGCAATTCAAATCAAATTATAATGTTTGAGTTGAATTTTTTTTATTTCAAACAAAAATCGATTAAATTAATAAAATCTATTATTAATTGGTTCGAGTATCAGATTTTTAAAATTTTACCCACAAATTTCACTATCCAAATCGACCATATTAATTCATATAATTTATATAATGATTATCATAGAAACTAATTTATAATATTAACTTTAAAAGGGAAAAAAATGCAATGTCATTTTTGTCCACAATCTATATAAAGTAAAAAAAATTAGAAATGTTATATTATTATGGTAAATTATTTGAAGTAAATTAGATATTTTTTAAAATATTTATAATATATTTGAATTCAAACTAACTAATTGTTTTTTTAGTTTGGTTCAGTTTAAGCTTTATCATAAAAATATATCATTTTAATTCAGATTAATCTATATATTTTTTTATCGATTTAAATATCAAATTCTTTTAAAATCGAATCAAACCGACTTACAAACACTTCTACTAAAAAAAACAAGTATGATGTAGGAGTTTCAACTTACACGAATTAGATGTTTCTGCATCATCCAATGAACATATATTATTTTTCACATAAAAATTATGCTTCCAAAATATAGCTTATTCTTTATTAATATTTATTATATCATTATTTAGAATATTAATTCTTAATAACATTAAACATTATTGATCTACCATATATATTATTTAAATTCACTCCTAATTCAATGAATTATAATATACTAAAATTAGTATTTTAAATAGGTTCTTTAACGAAAACTAAAATTTACAATTTGTATTGACTAGAAAAACTCACAATTATTCTAGTATACATGTTTAAACAGATTATTTTACATTTTTTTTGTTGAAATTTATGTCAAACATATTCAAATCTCAATAAAAAAGTTATCAATCTTTTTAAAAAAAATTGGGGATAGAGGAAATTTTATTAATTAACATGAAACTAATGACAATCTTACAACCATTTAAAAAAGAAATTGAACTATGTACATTGAAATTTGAATAAATCTAAGCTTCTAGCAGTATACATACAATTTTTTTTTTATATAAAAATTAGTGATTTTTAAATATCAATAGTTTGTTTATATTAATATATAAATATCAACAACTTAATATACATATGTTAAATTTTGTATATTTTTATCATGATATGTAATATTATTACCAAACACAAACTGTGACATGATATGATACAATAGTCATATTTTGTTTTTCTTTTTTTTAAATTAATAAAAATTTATTTATAAAATAATCTATAAACCTTCCATTTGTCAATATTTTACAAATATAGAGGAAAATCTATGACTTGTAGTTAAATTATTACCTCTTCTATTTCATTATATCATTTTTGTCCCTTTTTTTTTATTTAGAGGTTATTTCGAAGTTTCAAGAAAGTTTATTCCGTATATATAAACACCCTAAAATTCACATAACTCGGACATAAATATTGATAAAAGAAATAGATTTGAATATTTTGCGAACATATTTTACTATTTAAATTGGTTGCAAATGGATTATCCGATGAGAGTTGCCGGTGGATTTGATGAAGAAGACAATGATAACTCAAATAATGAAAATAGACCATCCAACATGCGTTTTACAACTTATCAGACATCCGTACTTGAAAGGTAAGATGGTTTCTATTAATCTTATTTCATTTTAAATTTATTTATGCATGTTCTTAATTAATTAATTTTATTGGTGAAATAGATTTTTTTACGTCAAAGTGATTCCCGACGCAGAATCTTCTAATCAAGAGAATAGTTTATAATTTTTCTATGGGTTCAACTTATAACCGAGGGAATAGGAAACACCCATTGATAAAATTTTCAAATATATCACTGTATTTTATTTTTACCTCGGTCAAATACTACACTGATGTAAAATTTCGTTAAAAAAATCTATATTTTATTATAGTGTTTATAATAAATTAATATGGATTATAAATAATTTTTGTATAAATTTATATATAGAAAATTGGGACTTTAAAGAAATAATGAGAAAAAATGAATTTTATGATTATAATTCTATATTTTTATTCTTGGTCATAAAATAGTATATTTCTCTATGACTAAAAAAAAATATATTTTTTTTTATTAAGATTCATAGAACAAGATTGTCATCCAAGTAAGGAGCAACGAAGTCAATTAGCTGAAGAGATTGGGCTTGAGCCCATACAAGTAAAATATTGGTTTCAAAATAGAAGAACTCTATTAAAGGTATTTTATTTTCACTAATTTTTTTAGTTTCATTTCAAATTTATTTCACATGCTTCTCATATATTTAGTACTAATAATTTTTTATATTTGTTACATTTAGAAACAAAATAGTAGAGAAAATAATAGTGCTCTTCGTGCTGAGAATGATGATCTTCTTCATCAAAATATTCATATGAAAAAGACATTGAAGGCCATACTTTGCACAACTTGTGGAGGTTCTCCAGTTCCCTCTAAAGAGCATGAACTTTCAATGAAAAAGATGGCACAGCAAAACACTAGACTTAAAGAAGAGGCTAGTGAATTTTTTCATTGATTATTATTTTAATTTAAACTAAATATTGATAACATATTTTATTGTATTTTTTGAAATAAAATATGTTTTAAATATCGGATACAACAAGCGACCATTGGTTGAACTAGGAATCAATCTCGGTTTAATTCCAATTATATGTTTGTCTTAGAGGTGACAAAACAGACCAAAATTGTGGTTTTGCCTGCATATTTTTGTAGAAAGCTGAAAACTTTAACCTGCACCTTCTAATCTTATAATATATTTGTTCCGTCATGTTTTTTAGAAATTTTATTTGGGAAACATTAACAAATTTTTTTTGCAACTTTTAATTTTTAGGGGTGTAATGCTAGCGTGCTTAACCAACCCCACACTCATTTTTCATAGACTCAGCCAAAATTTTAAACTTATACCCTTAAATATGTCTATTCAATTTTTTTTCCAAATTGTTATAAGGTGGATTTAAACATGACAAACATGTCTGTTTGTAGGGATGGAAAATGGGCATGCCCGTCCCATTTAAATTTGCCTTACAAAAGTTTGAGAAAAAAAAGGGGCAAGATGGGACGGACATAGTTGAAGGTGCAGACCTAAAACCTTAATTCACTCCACACAAAAGTGTGGTCAGGGTGGGGTGCACTCACAGCCACTGCATTTTTTAAACCTAAAAATGCATAAAATTATGTTAACTCATGCCTGCAAAAGCTCACAAAAAATGAGGCGGGGTGAGGCAATCACATTAGAGGATGATGGTTTAAATCCTTAGCTCGCCCGAACTAAAGTACTGACATGCCTAACGGGTCGGACCCGTTTTGCCACCCCTGCCCGTTTATCACTACTATTTGTTTTAATCGAATTAGGGTTAAACTCGTCCAATTACTTCATAAGATATGTATTTTTTTTTAAAATTTATTTCACTTTAAATACCTATGTATTTTATGTTACATCTAAAGCATTTGTGGTTGAAATTTTAACCATGAGTTGGAAGTCTGTCTGATTTGGTCGAATGTCTTGTTTTTAACAACTTAAGCGTAAAAAGGCTAACTAGTTATATGATAAATTATTTTAATTAAATATAATATTTATTTATAATTTAAATTTTACTTTTTTAGGTCAACAAAGCTTCTAGTCTTTTAGCAAGGTACTCGAGGAAAGAGATATCACTAGACGAGTTTAATCAATGTCTTGCTCAAACAAAAGCATTTGCTAGAAAATTAGAAGTTAAAATTCCACCCAGGCAAGAAATTGGTGGAAGTTCAAGTCATAATCACAATCATGGTATGCTAGTGAATGAACCAAAACAAATTGGTGATGTGGAAAAATCAATAATATCTCAAATTGCATATATTGCAATGAATGAATTAGTGACACTTGCGCGTGTCAATGAACCTTTTTGGATGGACTCTTCTAATGTGGAAGATGAGATATTGACTCTTTCTTATGAAATTTATGAGCAAGCTTTTCCAAAACCAAATCACTTAAAAAGTGAAAATGTAGTTAAGGAATCATCAAAGTATACTTCACTTGTCAACATCAATAGCATGGCATTGATTGACATGATATTGGATCCGGTAAGAATGTTTTTTTGACTCATTTGTATGTTATGTAGTTCAATATTTCATTTGAATACATGTTTTAATTGAGACAGGTCAAATGGGTGAAGTTGTTCCCAACAATTGTTTCGAAATCTGAAAAAATTAAAGTGTTTGAAAAAGGATTGATGGGAAATCGAGATGGAGCATTGCAATTGGTAACATAATTTTTATGTAAATGTTAGTTTATGTTAAAAGTGTTTTGACTATAAAACTCATGATTTTTTTTTTAATGTGGATTTTTTTGGCAGATGTATGAGCAAATGCATATTCTATCACCTCTTGTACGACCTCGTGAATTTTCCATAATTCGCTATTGTAAGAAAGTTGATGTTGGAGTATGGGTGATAACAGATGTGTCATATGATTCCTCTCTACGAGAAATTAGTCCTCTTGCTCGCTCTTGGAAACATCCGTCTGGATGCTTGATTCAGGAAATGTCTGTCGATTTTTGTTCGGTTAGTATGATTACATATTTGTGAAATATAGTATAACAACAAACTTGAAAAATTCAAATGACCTAAGTTTTCTAATCTAGACAACATAACTCATATTTCAACATTGAAAAATTAGTTAAAATACATATTTCAAATACAAACCATCTAATCTTGGTTAGACAAATCAAGTTGTTTGCTTATAAAAAAAATTAATTAACAAACTACATGAATGACTAATATTCAAAGATTTTATCATTAATTACATGTTTTATGTTTTAGGTTACTTGGGTTGAACATGTGGAATCGGATGATAAGATCCATACACACGACCTATACAATTATCTTATTGATATCAATAATTTATATGGAGCAAAAAGTTGGGTTAAAGAGATTCAAAGAATGTGTGAGAAATCGGCCAGTTTCTATGTTAAAAGAATACCTGACCGAGAATCTGAAGGAGGTTACACTTTCTCAACTTTACTCTACAAATAAACCCTATTTTACAATATGTGTTTAATTTTGATAAATATTTAATGTAAAATATTATAAATGTTTGCAAATTCTAGTTCAACTAGCAAAAGTCGATATTGTTAGGTTGAACGCCAACACTAATAAATTAATATATAAGTTGTTTATTACCCAGTGATCCAAACCATTGAAGGGAGAAAGAGTGTGATGAAGCTTTCACACCGAATGGTTAAGATGTTTTGTGAAAGTTTATCCCTAGAAAGTAAATTGAACTTTCAAAGCTTAATTGAAGAGAGTATTGGAGGAATTAGCATATCTATTGATACAAATGCTAGGGAAGGGAAACCAAATGGCACAATTATTTGTGCTACTTCAACACTTTTCATTCCTCTACCAGCTGATAAAGTTTTTGAGTTCCTCATTGATCATACCAAAAGATTTAAGGTTTGATATCTAGTTTAACATTCTTTTGTTTTTATCATAATCATAGTTTTATATTACACTATGAAAATTTCATTTGAAAGATAAAATTTTAACTTTTAATCAAATAATTGTTATTGGAAACACGTTTAATAATTTTTTTTATAGTGGGATGTACTTGCGTACGAAAATCCAGTGCAAGAAATTGCACACATCTCTAATGGACATCCGGGAAATTTCATTTCTATTATCAAGGTATTTACCATTTATTTAAAACTTATATTTTTAATTTAAATAGAAATGTTAAGAGTTTCACATCGAACAATATGTGATATGTTCAGATGTTTATAAGTGGGGTTGTTCTTTACATGTTACAAGTCGGTTTTGTAAGATTGAGTTAAGTCTAATCATAATTCTAAAATGGTATCCAAACTCCAGATGTCCCTAGTCCTAAGCGTGAGAGATATGTTAAGAGTCTTCAATAGAAAAATATATGGTATGATCATATATTTATAAGCAGAGACAATCATCACTTTACAGATCAATTGTGTAAAAAAAAATTTATATCGAGTCTAGCAAGAAAACTTTATATAAATGATTTCCACGTGTTTGTATCTTATTAAACATGATTTTTGTTGTCTCTATAATTGATTTGGTTCATAAATTAAATTTTTTTCCTCTATGTTTAATTTTGACATTAGTATTTATTGTGCAACTCAGTTTCATATGAACATATCTAAACAAATCATTTTACATTCAATTTACTTTAAGTCAATTTTACAAAATAAATCCATTTAACACAAATTTTGTCACATTAGAACCAAACACAATATAAATTGATATTAATTTTTTTGTCATGTGAATCAGCCGTCGATATTGGGTATTGAGAACCAGATGATGATTCTTCAAGAAAGCTTCAAATCACCAGTGGGTTCATATGTTATATTTACTCCTACTGATGTTACATCTCTACAAGTTGCCATTAAGGGTGAAGACTCAAGAGGAATGCATATTCTCTCTTCTGGTTTTGTTGTGTGCCCAAGTGAAAGAGAAGATGGAAACTCTAAAGTTGGTTCTTTGTTGACTCTAGCTTACCAAATTCTGGCCTCTAGCTCAGAAGGAACCATGATGTTGAGTACTCAAACTGTATCAAACGTTAACAACCTTTTGACTACTACCCTTGTCAAAGTGAGAGATGCACTCATGATGATGTAACAATTAAATGGAGCTGCTATTAATTTCTTGTTTAAGAATAATGTTTTGTTGTTTGGATTTTGATCAATAAAATGGATTCTTATGATACTCATTAGTGTTTTAAGATTAGTTTTTTAAAACAAAAGGGGAAAAGTGTCCTGGATATATAAATGGAAAGTAGGTTTAATATCTAAAGGATTAGAAAATTCTAAAGTTAAACGATACTTTGCAAGTTTTTATTGAAATCACTAATTATATTGGAAGATAAATCATCCCATAAGATATACTTTCTATATGTTAGGCCTAAGTTTGCTAAGATGTATGCACAATGATTACCATCATAGATGTGCATAGTAAAAAAAAAGATAGAGTTGACACCAAGGAGACAATATTTCTTATCTTTCAAGGTACTAAAGATGGTTTAGCAAAAGACTTAACCGTCATTAGATGTTTGAGATAACTTATTTGATATATACTATCATTATAGGTTGTTGGAGAAGAAACCATCAGATACTTCATTGAACATTGTTTAACCTTAGGTGTTGTCCTTGGCTTTACATTTTGATCTCACAAAAACATCTTAATCCTGATAGAAAATCTTTGATTATTACTTCTTCTTTATAGATGAAGACTTCATATCATGTTGTTTGGCATATAGTATTGTCATCATCAACATTATCATGTGCATTTGGCAGATGCAGATCGTTGTAACTGCAAGCACATAATCCATATTTCCCCTATTTTTGATGATAAGAATGCATCTCTCAGGAAGATTAAAAAAAATACAAAGAAAAAATAATGGAGTGGTTAAACTCCCCCTCACAAATATCGAGAGTATAACCCTAATCCTCCTAAGAGTATACCTCTTCTTCTTTGTCTTTATCAAAAAGGCGGAAATTAAAAGTAAATAAATAAATAACACAAGCACATAAACAAAATTTAAAAGGAATAAGTTAACTTGATAAAGAGGTGGAAAGTATGCACAAAGAGAGAATAATTAATAGAACATAAGATCATACTTCTCTCCACAAATGACAAGATCCAACTTTGAGATTGATTCTTTAAGCAAAATTCTTTTTTGCTAATCTTTCCTTTCTCTCACAAAGAACTTTGTTTTTAAATTTAGTAGAGTAACCAGTTAGTTTAATTCAATTTAGATTATTTTTACAAAAAGTAAATTAATAAAAAATAACTAATTTTTTTGTATTTTATTTTTATAATTATTTTATATGAAATTTGAACTAAACAAAATCCATGAAAAATGAATTGGTTTGGTTTAGTTCAAACAAGTATATATTTGTTTAAATTTAAAAAAAAAATTATTTTTTAAAATATAAAATCTTTTAAATATTATTAAAATAAGTACAGAAAAGTAATAATTTAAAAATTTTGATGAATGGTACATATTTTTTAGATGATCACTTTGAATGATATAAAATTAATCTCCGAATAAATGATGGTTGAGTTTAATTTAGATATGGACATATAAAAAACTAAATCACTTATGTTGAAGTATGACTTATAACATTAAGTGATGAAAAGAAAGAAAATATATATTGAGATTGCAGAAATTATAATTCAGTCTGGAAGTCGATGAAGACACCATAGCACAGAGTGAGGCTCGTAGTGTAGCTGACATGGTGAGATGTTGTTTTTCATGTATTAGGATCCGTTATTTTAGTTTGTGGATTTGTTTGTTTATGGGTTATGTTTGGGCTTGTTATAGATCTATTGGGTTTTGACAGTTATAAATATGTATCTCTTGTATACTTGTTATCACAACCTTCAGAAGTTTAGAGCTAAAGATAGAGATAAGAGTTTAGAAATCATATTGCCAATCTTAGATAGACAAGAGTAAGTTTCTAAGAGTGCATTCATGGAATCGAAAATCCCTTGGGAATATCTAAGGAAGATTAGAAAACACTTCTAAATACTTTGGGCTTCTATGATTCATATATTGAGAGTTGGAGAGATTGAGAAACACCTAGGTACAAAATAGGGGTTGTCCTTGGAAACTTGGGTGACTATTTTCTTGTAACTCATCTATAATATTTTATAATAACTCTATGAAGTATAATGAGTCTGAGAGACGTTCTCTCCCACATAGTATATTGTTTGATCAAATTGGGTAAATGAATTATTATATTTATTGTTTTTACTTTATCTTCTTCTGCCGAGTTTAATTGATGTCTTATTAATTTTAGATTTATTATTGACTGCCATTTATTTTATCTTTCATTGTTATTTGTCCTCACACATTAAATTTTTTGGTGCGGTGGAACTCCGAATAATTATTTTGAATTGCTTTAGTTATTCTACTAATTTCACAACAAATTGTTTCCACCATGGGACAAAGTGGTTTGGTTTGTATGTGATCACAAATAGGTTCTAATAAAAGATTGAGAAATTTTATAGAGACACAAATTTTGGCTTGTGGAAAGTGAAGATGCAAGAACTTTTAAATGGTGTGTAATGAAGAGGAGTCAATTGTCCTTTATATAGGAGAAGAAAACAATAGAAAATGAAAAAAATTATGGGTTGTTTTAATGTCCAAATCAATTGGCTTTATCTTTTAATAATGTGGATGACCAAATTCAGTTGATTATCTTGGCCCAATATGAAAAGATTGGATAGAGAGATGTTACCAATAACTAAGATATTGCCCTAATCGATTAAGCAATCGATTGGCTTAAGGTCCCAATCGATTAGGTAGTTTAAAAAAATTTTCCAATCAATTGGCTTAAGGTACTAATTGATTTGGTATATAAAAATTCTTTTAAAATGAACCTGACAGTATCCTAATCAGCTGGCTCGAACTTGAAAACACTTTTAATATTAAAATATTTTTTTTAAGTGTGTAGGTGTGCGCGCGCGTGCATGCATGCGCGCGTTTATGTGTGTGTTTGTGCGTGTATGCGTGTGAGCGCACACTGTAACACCCCACTTCCTAGAATTAAAATAAAATACGATTATTTCAAGTAAACATCAGAGTTTCTCCTCAAAAGCGGGATATCACAACAATTAATTCAACATAACCCATCATTAGATGGTTTTCAAAATAAAACAACGGAAGTAATCATTAATTCAACATTCTCGGCCATCCGCCAAATTACATAAAATCATTCATTAACAAGGTTCACCAAAGTATGATACGTCACAGGAATAAAACAAATTCAACATAATAAAAGTAAACACCCAAGTCCCGTGCTACGTATCAAAGCATCCTAAGACTCGACCTGCATGAAGGTGAGAAAATACTTAGAAGGGCGGTTGAATAAGTATGAAGATAAAACTTAGAAATAAAAACTCAAGGATTTTTATCCTGGCTCGTTGAACTCAACTACTGCAGTCCACCATATCAAGAGTGATTTGCCTTTCTCAAACAAGGACTTAATCCACTATTTAATCAACTGATTACAATAGTAAGCATTAAGAACAACTGTTCAAAGTCTTCTTAAGAACTACTGATCCTAACTGGATCTTCTTAAGGTTCTCTTACAATCAAATGTAATAATAATACAAGTGTTAAAAATGCTTCTAATAAAGCTTTATCACAACTGTGATTTTTCACTTAATATGAAGAACAATGAAATAAATTCAGCAAATGAGTATAAGTTGTATGAGAGCTTGTAATAAATTCTTTCAAGTATTTCGTCAACTGAAGAAGATGAATGGAGTCTTGCTTTTATAGGCACAGAGGTCCATGAAGTCTTTCACGTTGAGAGCTGTGTACCAAAAAGGTCTGAGCCTTTTTGTCTTCACATCACATGACTTTTCCTAGAAGTAAAATGCACAGAAAAATCCTTTTTGTCTGTGTTCTTGTGTCTAGCATAAATAAGGAAAGAGTCGTTTGGTTATTCCAACGGACATAACTTTAAATTCTTCTTCAACAAGTTTCAGCAAGAATCATCAGAGTCTGGATTGGTCAGAGCCTTCTGATGTTCATCAGAGTTTGCTGAATCAGAGTCTTTGCAGCAAGTGTGCTATCAGCGTGTAAATGTTCAGAGCAGAGTTTTGGATCAGATCCTCAGTACTGTCAGCGTTAGTACTATCAGAGTCTTCTGAAGTAACTGAGCTTAAAACTCTTCATACAAAATTCCTCAAAGCTTCAGATGCTTCTGGCTTCTGCTTCAGATTCTTCTGTAGACAGCATTCAGAATCTTCTGGAGGCAGCATTCAGAATCTTCTAAGAGATGCTTCTGACGCTTCAGAGCCTTGCATATTTCTCATGTTCAGATCTAATTTGCTTCTAGAGTAATATTCAATTTAACATCTGCAGCAAACATTCTCAAACAAATTTTAGAATATATAATTCTTTAATACAAAATTTCATAAGAGTATATTACAGGAATAAAGCAAAATTCGCCTACGCTACAAGGGGTGTTACATATTTAACCATATTAATTACTTATTATATAAATATATAAAGTAAACAAATATTTTTACATATAGAAATAGAGAAAATATTATGTTATGTTCAAAATTTAAGTTAGTGATATATATATATATATATATATATATATATATATATATATATATATATATATATATATATATATATATATATATATATATATATATATATATATATATATATATATATATATATATATATATATATATATATATATATATATATATATATATATATATATATATATATATATATATATATATATATATATATATATATATATATATATATATATATATATATATATATATATATATATATATATATATATATATATATATATATATATATATATATATATATATATATATATATATATATATATATATATAAGTTATAATTGTGTTCCACTAATTGAAAGTTCTAGATATTTTATTCTAGATATTTTATTTTTAAATTTAAATAATTTTATATATATATATATATATATATATATATATATATATATATATATATATATATATATATATATATATATATATATATATATATATATATATATATATATATATATATATATATATATATATATATATATATATATATA